TTAGTTATTCATGTATTCATTCATTCATTCACTTATTTATTTATTCATGGCCCAGGTAAAATTTTCCCTCCCCCTCTCCTCATAGCCCCTCATCCTCCTCGCTTATCTGTAGATACAGCAGGCTCCCATGGATATCAGCCAGGCTCTGTACCTCAAGTTGCCGTGAGACTCAGCTCCTCCTCCTCCATTACAGCTGGATGAAGCAATGCAGTGGGGAGGAAAGGGTCAAAAGCAGGCAACGGAGTCAGAGACAGCCCCGCTCCCACTGTTAGGAGCCCCACGAGACCAAGCCACACAGCTGTCACATCTGTGCAGATGGCCTAGGTCAGTCTCGTGGTGGCTCCATGGTTGTCTGGTTCGGTCTCTTTGTGAGCCCCTGTGAACTGAGGTGAGTTGACTCTGTGGGTTTTCCTGTGGTGCCCTTGACTCCCCTGGCTCCAACCCTTCTCCCCTTCACAGAGTTCCTTGTTCTGCCTAATGTTTGTGTGTGGGTGTCTGCTTCCATTTCCATCCATTGCTGGGTGAAGCATCTCTGTGGGCAAGGGACCAGTCTATGAGCACAGCACAGCATCATTAGGAATCATTTCTTTGACTTTTTTTTTTTTTGCCACTCATGTTTGGTTCTATCCATGTCTCTAGCATATCCTGTTTCTGGGTCCTGGGCTTCAGCAGTGAGCTCCCTCTCCGGGTATGCGGCTTCGGCTAGGCCAGTCATTAGTTGGTCTTAGTAATACAATGTCAGAATTCAACTTTTGATTCTTTTCCTGGGGGTGAATTTGGTTCTGTGTCTTTTCTCCAAGCAGCATTTCCTTTTGGTTGAGGTCACCATCCTTGCTCCAATGTTTGGGATGCCTGCTTTGGTCTTCTAGGACTCCCTGCTGTTCATGGGACTCTGGGGTTTTTCTGTAGAAACTGTTGTGCCCAGACTCTGAACCCCCAAAACCACCAAGAGACCACATCTGATGCAAAAGCAAGGAGTCTTTTTAATTACGAGTTAACTCGGGTTCTCCGGCCATCCAAGACGGAGTAGGAGGGAGCCCAAGCCACGGTAGGGGCAGGGCATATATTGGGGTCTGTAGCGTCATTCTGTGAATGGAATGAAGGAATTTTCCCAAGCTGATGCTTGTTACCACTTTTAGATGGGTTACTGCTAATGGATGTTTATTATTCTGGTTTATTATTTATTTATACTTTTTTCAAAGTATGCTAATATTATTTTAACCTAATCAATATTTAATAAAACATTTTAAGAGAAACGTGTTACAGATATTGGCTTTAATACCACCTGTCTTATAATACCCATTCAGCAGGATGTTAGTAAAGAGACAAACCTCTTTATGGGGATAATGAATTCACTTCACTAGAAGGTGAACACTGAAACCACCATGAAGAAAAATACATTTTAAAACTCAGGCTTAACATGAAGAATTATCCATCATGTATCGTCACTCCAAACTCAATTTATAAATGTAAAGACAGAATAGAAAGAAAAATCAGGGAAATGCATTGACCAAAAAGATTAAGAAAACCAAAATGATGAATATTGCCCTTCAAAGTTATCTTGGTATATCAACATTTTTTACCTAAGATGTGTCACTTTTACTGGTTTCCGATTTGAAGTCATATTACAATTGATATGAAACAGGGCTTATTGGAAATGCAGTCAAGTTTAATTTTCCCATAGCCTTGCCTGCTACTTAATTTAAAATAACAAAAATCAAAATATTAAAGATGAGATAATAAAATGAAAGTCTTCCTATGGGAGATTCACACACACACCCCTTCTCTACTGGGAAAAGCAAATAAGCTAATGAGGATTTGTCGCTTAATTTTTAATGCCTAAGTCTCTCTGAGCACTGAGAACAAATGACTTTAGTATAAGTTCTAAACAGAGCTACGCCTGGCCACCTCACCTGGATGCCTCTTCCACCTCATCTTGAGTGTCTCTCTTCCTGAGAGTTCTCTCGCAGCACAGTCTCAGGGTGCAGTGATCTCTCCAGCAAAGCTTTGGTTCCTGTAGGGTTTCTAAAACTGTCGATACGGCAATAGTCTGGACACCTTTAGATGGCACAAGTTCTTAGGAAACAGAGAGTGACTCTGACAAAAGGAGTTGCTGAGCTGAGGGACGGCGCTTCCGGAGTGTGTGGCCAGACCACATCTGTGAGGCATGTCAGCGTCTCTTCCTGGCTTCGCCTTTCCGAGGACACAATGCAAAGCAGCGGCTCTGGGAGCTGGAAGTTAGCATGATGACAGGCCCTGGGAGCTGGAAGTAAGGATGTAGAATTCTTGACTGTGGAAACATGGCCAGATAGCACAGTGACACTAGAAACTCTGAACTGCGATCTGTCCCCCTCAGGGCTGTCCCTGCCCTGGGGTTCTTCCGGTTCCCAACTGTAGTTGTTTCTGTCAAGATTGCGTATCTGGCATTGACCCATGGATGTATCTAGTCTAGGAGGATTCTGACTCAGGAGCCCTTGTTTCTTGTCAGATTGAAAGCAAACTACGCTACCACAAGACCAAGTGCCTTGTAATGAAGTTTTGAAGAAACTATTGGGTTAACTAAATCAGATTACTACTCATAATATTGATTGATGATTAGAGAGATACGCCTTGGCTTTAGGGGGGTTTGACTTCCAAGCTCTACCCCATTCATTTTTATTTGCTTATTTTGTTGGGCAGGGGTAGGGGGAGAGAGAGGTGGACACATTTACCTTGGGAGCTGGGATCATACATTCTAGTGTGTTGCAGAGAGGGGACTTGCATGTTTTTAACCATTCTGTATTAAAGTAAGAGTAACTGTTGTCACAGATGTCCTTTATTTCTATTTTTTTAAAGTAGCTTGACTATTAAAATTGGAAGACTGCCTCTGACATGCATGCATGCATGCATACATACATACATACATACATACATACATACATACATACATAGTACATTATGAAATGACCTAAGCGAAGCCCCTCGGTAGCCCTCTTCTAGCCACTCATGGTGTCATGCTTGCATACATACATACATACATGCATACATACATACATACATACATACATAGTACATTATGAAATGACCTAAGCGAAGCCCCTCGGTAGCCCTCTTCTAGCCACTCATGGTGTCATGCTTGCATACATACATACATACATGCATACATACATACATACATAGTACATTATGAAATGACCTAAGCGAAGCCCCTCGGTAGCCCTCTTCTAGCCACTCATGGTGTCATGCTTGTACACGAGCTGTCTCACCACCGTGACGCCGCACACACGGCTCTGCAGAATTCGTGTCCTATACACTGGTGGGTCACACTGGGCGACAGACCTTATCTTCACGCAGTGCATTTCCAACACTAAGAAAATAAGTGAACATCAGTAAATAGAAAGTTTGAGAGCTCTCCTTCCCCACTAGTATTTTAGTGAGCCAGTTACCACTTTATAAGATCTGCTTAGAACCATCCTAAGCACTGCTGATCAGTCTGTAATACTCTTTCCCCATCGTTCTCACAGCAAGCTTGAAGGTTGTGTTTCTGCGCCTGTTACCAAGTGATGAGCTTTCTGTCAAGACTCTTACCTATTTACAGTCAGTTTACTCATTGCTTAAGCCGAGGGAAGCAGATTCAGCAGTCATCACCAAAAGTCCAACCCGGAGTGCAGGATCCTGTGTTAGTCTCCATGGGGACAACTTCCAGTGGAAGCCTGAAGCCATGGATACAGCTGAACCCAATATAGACTTTATTCTGCACACACAAATACGTACAGACACATACATATGATGAAGTTTAATTTACAGGTTAGGCCCAGTAAATGATTAACTACAGTCATAATAAAATATAATTACAATTTTAAACTATAATGCAATTTATTCACAATTTGTGAATTTCTTGTTTCTTGAATTTTCACTTGCCGTATTCAGGGTGAGCTTGCCCCCACGCACGTGTAACTGCAGAAAACACAACCGTGGCTAGGAGAGATGACTATAGCTCTGTTTCTACTATGCGTAAGGCGGTGCTCCATTGCAAGTTTGGCCTTTTTGATGACAGGGTTGTTGCTAATAGGAACCTTCTACCTTTCAGTGGTTCCTGACTCACTACTGCTAGTGGATCCCTGGTAACCCAGCCTATTGTGAAATTTCACATTCAGTTATTTGGGGTAACGAGTGAATCAAAATTTAAAATGTCCACACCCTCATCTGGATAGTGGGACTTGCACCACGCCCTTCAAAGGTGAAGGGAGGCTTGAAGTTGCATGGCATAACCATCACTCAGACTGTCCTGATTGGTCTTAAAATAAGAAGATGCTGCATTCTAACTTTTATTTCACCAGTGCTTTTGTGGAAAAGTTAGGACAGGTTTATCCATTTTTAAGTATTAATTTTAGAATTCTAAAAGCGTACAAATGGCATTTGTCTTTGGATTCACAAAAAAACTCTAGATATTCAGATGTGAATTATTTAAACTCCCACAACACATGCACTTTTGCTTTTCAAGCATGAGTTATAATTTAATTAAAAACTTCTGGTGCATTGCTAGAGTTTTAAATATTAATATGTTCCATGGATCACTTTCGATTATCTACTGTCTTGAAATTCTTGAAGATGTCAGATTTTTAAGATTCCCAAAGTCGCACTTGGAATTGTCTGTTGAGGCAAAGGGGACTGTGATAATTACACACATCCATTAAGATTAGCAGAGGAGATAAACTTGAGGGAGGCTTAATGGGCCTGTCTCGGTGACAGCTAGCAAAGAGCATTTGGCATGATTAAGGATGGGTTTGACTGCGGTTGAAAATCCACTCTCATTATGGACACCCAGTGGAAGTTGCACCACAAATACCGAACTCTGGAGAAGAAGAGTGGTGAGGCAGGGAAGCTTTGAAGTCCACTGTGGCCATCATCCAAATTATCCTCCTCCCACTCGGTCTTTGCACTGTCAGAATCACTTTGTGATGCCCAGTTCCAGCGCCCGCATCTCAGAGAAGGGCGACCTGTTGGTGTCTGTGTTCCAGATCATCCGCAGATACATCAGGGACTGGCTGGAAAGGAAGAAGCCCCCCTTCGGGGCCGTCAGCAGCAGTGTGCTCCTCATGATCATCTACACCACCTTCTGCGACACCTTCTCCAACCCACATATCGACCTGGACAAGTTCAGCCTCGTCCTCATACTCTTCATAAGTAAGTCGGGAGGCGGGTCCTGGTGTCCCCTGGCCGCCTCCGCGGTACTGTGACGCGATTCCATGCTCTTGATCTTACCTCTATGTTATTTAGAAAGACATCGCCCTACGTCTGTGACCTTCCTCTACTTTGCTTTTATGTTCCATGCACCGCTTTCTGATCTACAGTAATGTGTGTAGATGGGAGAAGCTGAAGTATGTGTCACATTCAACTCAGTGTGTGTCACAGTTCAGTAAGTCACCAACTTACATTAAACTTTCTGATCTACAGTAATGTGTGTAGATGGGAGAAGCTGAAGTATGTGTCACATTCAACTCAGTGTGTGTCACTGTTCAGTAAGTCACCAACTCATGTTAAACTCGTCTGATCTCTTACAGTGATTTCAGAAAGATTCGCGACATGTGTTGTTACTGTGTAATATATAAGTTTCCATCATAGTTTCTAATGAAGTTTGTATAAAGAAATGGCTCTTTATATAAAGGCACAGCATACTCTAAATGCCAGGAACTACTAAAGCTTAAAAAGCAACTTTCTATTCTAGTTGTCCTGTAATGCCAAGCATGGCTTTTATTAATGTTATAATAGCAAATAATTCGTTTTTGACATCGAGGTGAGTTGTTTCAAGGTATACATTATGTATGCACTTATGCTGTTCAGCTCCTAAGTATAAGTCTTTTTTTTTTTAATCAAACAAATGAGATCATCAAATCTAACCCAAAGGGTTCTAGATCTTCCCGAGTGCTGGCATCATAGGCTGTATCCAAGGAGAGCAGCTTAAGTCCAATCATTTACGCCTCTGTCAGTTAGCAGTGTATGTTGGTTTTGTTGTCTTTAATTTCAAACAAGCTTTAGCTTGAGCTCAGCGGCTGCAGAAGACTTTCACGGTGCCGATTCCCACTCAGACCGCTGTCTTGTTTTGTCTCTTCCTCAGTAGTCTCCATTCAGCTGAGCTTCATGCTTCTGACCTTCATCTTTTCGACACGGTAAGTGATCTGGTGTGTCCCGTTGTCTCGTTATTTGGCCCCTGTACTGCTGTGCTGTCCTGTGTCGTCTCCTGTCTCAGTGACTGTGCTCTTCAGTGCTGCCGCTCTCAAACCGCAGACATCGCCAAAGGGTCTGTGCTGGCCTTGAACCCTAGGGGCTCACCCAGACCCTTCCATTCTCCCGGCCGAGGCGGAGGCTTCCCGCCGACACTCGCGAGCTGAGACTTTCTGGCTTTGTCCTGTGCCCCAGCGCTACGATTTACCTTACCATGTCGATCTCATCCCTAACTGATACTGAAATGGAATTAGTCTTTTTTCTGAAACTTCCTCTCTTATGTTTAAATAGAATACCTGCCTCAGTTAGGATTCTATTGCTGTGAGGAGACACGGTGATTATGGCAACACTTGTGAAGGAAAACGTTCTATTGGAGTGGCTGCTTACAGAGTTTAGTCCATTATGATCATGGCAGACATGGTGGCGGCAGGCAGACAAGGTTCTGGAGAAGGAGCTGAGATCCACAGGCGGCGGGCGGCAGGAGTCTGCCACACTGGGTGTGGTTTGAGCGTATTTGAGACCTCAAAGCGCACCCCCACAGTGACGCACTTCCTCCAACAAGGCCACACCTCCTAATAGTGCCACTCCCCACAGGCCAAGCATTCCAGCACGAGTACATGGGGGCCATGCTCACTCAAGCCACCTTCCATGTTTTCCTAAATTCATATACACAAACTGTACTGTGCTCATCCCCTCCCAAAGGCTTCCCTGACACGTTGCCCTTTCCTCTCGTGCCCTCTTCTATTGGGTTTCTGTAACCCACCGAGTCCAGTTAGTATTGGTTTTTGGCACATTGCAACATCTATTATTGACTTGATATACCACCTCTCTTACAAGAGCTTCCCTAAGCCCTTAGCGTTGGCTTGTTTGTTTATACGGGGTCTCACAATGCAGCCTTAGCTGGCCTGCAACTCATTACACAGACTAGGCTGGCTTCAAAGTCCAAGAGGTACACTCAAACACACAGCAAATTTTTATTTTTCACAGAACCTCCATTGTTACTTTGTAGGTAATCACCTGCTTCTGTCATGTCCACTCTGCTCTGAAACCCACTCCCCTCATGCAGGCTCTGGGAGCTGCGTTAGGCGCACTTCTAGACTCGGCTTTTCTCAAATGAGTCTTTTGGCTTCCAGTGACTTGAGGTCCCGGTAACCACAGTCTTATCCCCTCCCGTGTCCCCGAAGCGTAGCAAGGACGTGCAGAGTGCACTCCACCTCGTAAGTCTGCTTCACAGTTGTGAGACATCACGCGCTTTCATTCTGCCTAAGCTCTAGGTCTGGCGCTTCCTAGAACCACCTCATGTGTCCTCGTTCCTGTCCCTCGTTGAGGCTGTCCCCAAGTGTTTGCGTTGGCTTCATGGGAGAGGTGGTCATGACCAACGGCTCTTGTGGGGGAAGCAGCAGTGATACAGAGGTTGGCACATGTACGTTGACAGGACATGGTGGGCAATGGCCGGGCAAGGCTCGGATCAGAGTGGCGCTGGTTCAGGTTTCCAGGCGCCGGGCTGCTGGTGTGGACAGTGGGTTCCCACAAGAAGAGAGCGTGGGCTCACATGAAGCCTGGTGCTCAGTCAGGCTGTGGGTGAGCAGGTTGGGGCCTCACATGAGGCTCTTGGCTCTTGGAGCAGTTGGTCTAGCTGATTGTTCAGAGTCAATAAAAATGAATTAATCACTGTAATTTGAGGCATTTTCCTAAATTTAAGGTCATGACTTACAAAGTAAGAATAAAGCCTAGAGCAATCAAGTCACAGAGAAAAAATTGTGTTTGCTGTCCCTGTGGCAGAGGTAATTCTCAAAGGCAGTCATCTTGTCGGATGGTATAATTTATGTATGTCCTGTTAGTGACTGAACGCTCCCTAGTTTCGTTTCCTGTTGCTGTGGTGAAACAGCCTAGCAAAAGCAACATAAGAGAGAACTGGTTTATGTGGCTCACAGTTCCGGGTGACAGTCTCTCACTGCAGGGAAATCCAGGTGGCAGGGACTCGGAGCAGCTGGTCGCGTTACATCCACAGTCAAGAGCAGAGAGACTGCGTCAATGCGCGCATGCTTGTGCTCAGCCGGCTCTGTCTACTGTACAGTCCAGAACTCCTGCCCCTCACAGTGGTCTCCCCACTCACCTAAGCGCCCCAGTGCCACCCAGACAGTCCTTCCTGCATGCTTCTGAATTGTGTTGCGCTTACTATTAAAAGCAATCGTTAGTAAGCATAGACGATGGGGATTCGCTCCTGGGCTTTACTGGGTACTGGGAGGAGGGGCATTGTGACTAATTCAGTTAAAACCCAGTCACTGGTGTGCAACAGAGTGACCTTTCTTTAGGACCTTGATCTTGAAATCCTGCTTCTCTACTGTGTTCAGCTGAGCCTTGCACTTCTCCCTAACCCACTGCAGACATTTACGTTCTTTGGCAAACCATACTGTGGAATAACTGTACCTATCGCTGGGATGAAGGGAAAGGAGCAGGTGCTTTAAGCTCTAGGGAGTTGACTTGGCTCCACCTTGAACAGCATCTTGCCAGACTCTGTGGAACCATCAGGTGCCACCTGGACCACCAAAAGGCGAGAAACCACACCTATGTGCTCATGCTCCAGGGTAATAGTCCTCTAGCCTAGAAACAGTCTGTTAAAAAATTGTGCAATTTTCAATGAAATAAAATTTAGGAGATGGCTTTCATGATGTTTTCTTACTGAGAAATCTCATAGTACCTAAGGATCTGACCGGAGTATGAAAGACACCTGCCCCAGGGTAGGGGGCAAATAAGAAAGGAAAGAGAGAGAGAGAGAGAGGGAGGGAGGGAGGGAGGGAGGGAGGGAGGGAGGGAGGGAGGGAGAGAGAGAGAGAGAGAGAGAGAGAGAGAGAGAGAGAGAGAGAGAGAGAGAGAGAAAGAGAAAGAAAGAAAGAAAGAAAGAAAGAAAGAAAGAAAGAAAGAAAGAAAGAAAGAAAGAAAGAAAGAAGGAAAGAAAGACACCTGCCCCATGCCAGCCTCTGTCTGGGGGATTGTCCCTATGGTGCTAATGCATGTAAAGTGACAGTGGTTTGATGATATTGTCGCATTTCATTGCTGTTTTTCAGAGGAGGACCCATATTCACAATTTAACTTAGGAACTTGCCTAAAATCAAATCTAGGTAGTACACCTAGAATTAAAATCTATTTCCATTCCATATTTGCAGAGAATGCTTTGCCCATTCACCATTGCTCTAAAATGTATTTTAATTACCTTCAAAATGCATAATACTGGGGCTGGAGAGATGGCTCAGCAGCTCTGACCGCTTGCTACTCTTGAAGAGGACTGGAGGTGGGTTCCCTGCCCCCACATTAGGTGGGTCACAACCACCTGCTACCTCCTAGCATCTGAACCTCCTAGAGCACTATGCTCAATGTGCACGTACCACACACAGACACACACATATAAATAATTTTAAATAATAAAAATAAATCTTGTAGTTGATAGTACTTGGTTCACTTAGAGTACTTGCAAAAACTGTTTAACTGAGCTCAAGTTCACACAGACACACACAGCATCTGTGGCAGGTACCAGGCTTTTACCTAGGTCCACTGGCTCCAATGGGGTCTGCTTTCTTTTCCTGCTTCTGCTTATTTCCTACTTGTAGTTGATGAGACCTGTGTGTCCCCATCTCTTCCTACCAACCCCTGCTCTCTCCCACCCACACCCCTGCTCATTTATTCCTTATGAGCTCGGTAAGTCTAGAACCAGTCTGGGCATGAAAAGAAACCTGTTCAAATCCTTTGCCTGTTCCCAAAGCAAGCAGGGCCGCATTGATGGCAAGGATTTGGCATAAGCCGAGAGAGACCCCTTGGAAAGTGGAGCTTCCTGGCACCTCTGGCTTTTCTACTTAGCTCTTCTTAGGGTTCTTGATCTGGAATGTTACCATGCTAGAGAGCACCTAACCCTGATTTACACGGGATTACTCTGTATGCCCATCTAGATGTCTGTTTGCAGAGACATGGGTCTAAACTCCCGATGCCAGACTCCAATGGAACAAGGCTTCAGCCCTGTTCATTAGGCTTATAATGTGTGTTGTTTTTCCTTATGACAATAGAGACGGTATGTATATCGTAAGAACACAGAGAGAGCTCAGCTCCTAAAACCAACTGCATAGAGACCCCGTGTAGAGGAAAATAGGCAGGCTACGACTTGTATGTGATCAGGCTAGCTTCCGGTACATGGGAACTAGTGCTAGCAGACAGGGAGTTGGCTCCCCTGACTTCATGATGCAGTCCAGGCCCCTTTGCTCTGCTGCAGCTGCTGGGAAATGAGACTTGGTTTATCATGCAGGTCAGCTACATACAGTGAGTGGCCTAAGCTGTCTCTGCCACTTTGGAAGACTGTCCTAGTTTTGTTTTGTTTCGATGTCTAAAGCTTTAGGAAAAGAAAGCAATGATGTTTAAAATGTATGAACGAGTTTCGGTAGGGTAGGCTGCTGGCAACCGTCCCTAGAGTGACCTAACACATGAGTGTGTTTGTGTTATCAGCCTCACCACAGTCTGGGGAGGAGAGGCTGGGCTGCAGGGAGCAGCAGACAGACATTTGGGGTAGAGTGCCTCCACCCCAGAGTTCTGGTCGTGGTTTAGTGCCACACAGCTGCTGACAATGAGGTGGAAGGGCTTTCTTCCTAAAAGGCGGACAAAGGCTAACGCAGGTGTCTCCAGGGTCCCTCCAGCACAGTAGACAGATCACTCGCTCTCTGAGGACCTTTCTGCCCCACATGCTGTGCTTCTGCTAAAGAAGCCTGGCATGCCTTCCTCTGTGGGTACAGAAGACAGCGAATGCCGTGTGGGAGCTGCCAGTGGAAGCTTTGCTAGAGAGAATTCCTAAGACACCAGTTGGGAAGAAAAGAGGATAAGCACCTCAGGGGAAAGCAGCGTGATCAAAAGAATGATAAAAGCAAGATAAAAAGAAAATCAATATTAAAAAGAGATAAGGTGGGGTTAGAAAATGGAAAGTAACTAGCTGGGTTACTTTGTGACTTTGGGTGTGCTGGGCTTCTGGTCCCTCTTTAGAAGAACCAGGAGGGGGATGCCACCTCCTCCTACCTCCTTCCTGAGGCCGTCCTGAGAAGACAGCCTGGATGCAAAGTACTCAGAAAAGAGCTCGGGACTCTCAGTGCTGTGGTCACTCTCGTGAGTAGAGGACCTCAGGCATCTGCTTGCCTTCAAGTCGACACAGAGCACAAGGCGGTGTCCTGCTCACTACGGTGAGGCAGTGAGGACTTGCCGTCATCCCCAGTGTCACTGATGCCTAGCGTCAAGCCAGTCCCAGAACAGGGATAGACTTTAAGCACAAACCCTTGGCGTTCCTATCCTAAGGCCCTGTTCCCTCCTCCTGTTTGTGGAGTTTGTGCTCGGGCCTCTCAGCCCAGCCCAGCTGCGGCCCCCTTAACCTGAGCAGAACAAGGGAGCCCCCACCCCACCCCCTGTTCACTGAAGTGTGGGCAGCTCCTGGTCAGACCACTGGAAATGTGCTGTGATCCGAACAAGAGTGAATAGCAAGCAGTTTGGAGCTCGCTAAAGGGAAACACTGCCAAGTGTCTAAGAGAGGCAGCGGTAGTCAGAGAGGCCTTTGTGTGTGACCGACATGGTGTCTGTGGGAACATCCCCAGAGGTACACCTCCTGCAGTCACGAGTGTCCACTCCCTCCTCTAGGGAGTCTCTCCAGTCTGCCCCATTCCCTCGGCTGCCTGAAACCCTGAGGGCCAGTAGAATGCCTTCCACAGCATGAGTTGCCCTGTGTCCCTGCTCTCCCTCGCCACTTTCTGTACTTTTCCAGCTCAGAGTAAAGTAAGAAACGCCATTTTCCCCCTGCGTGTGGTCCCCTTGGGACTGCTGGGAGACCTAGACTTACAGTTTCTTCATATTGCTCTTCCTCCCTCTCCCTCCTTCCCTCTTGCTGCCCCACCCTCTCCCCACCCCTCCCTCCTTGCAAATTTAAATTCACCACATGGGGCATCAACTCTTTGACTCCCCAACCCCAGTGGCTCCCTCTTCCAGTCTGTCCCCATTCATGGCTCAGTGTGCCTCTCAGTCCAGAATGCGCAGAGCTCCTAAAGTCCCCAACTTCTTCCTCTCTGTGAGTAATAGTTATGATAATAGAAATGTCACTAGTGTGTTGTAAGCACTTGCAGTGTGTAAATTCTTAACAGACATTTGCATTTATCCTCACAGAGGCATATAACATCACCCTGGGGTTTTAAAACCAAGTGTGCTCATCCCCAAAGCCTGTGTTCTCCAGCTCTGGGCAGCAGCCCCGCTTGGAGAAGAGCGATGGACTTTCTGGTCATTCAAACTCTGCGAGGCCATTTCCTGCTCTGTGTGTGTGACTTCTCCTTCAGGACAGACCTGATGCCGCGACTCTAGTGTCCCCGTGTGCCCCACCCTCAGCTCCATACCCCGCTCACAAGGCCGTACTCCTGAAAATGAGCCGGCCGGCTTCCCATTGTGCCCGCCCTGGTCCCTGTCACCCCCACTGTCATCTCCCACCCACTCCAGGCCACAGGACGTTCTCTGCTTCTAATGATAAATCTTCCTCTCCCCTCTCTCCTCCCTCACCTGTCACCCCTCTTCTGCATACAGTATCGATCTATACTCCTGTCCTGTCATAGCCTAGTGTTGGCCTGAGAGTTCCCTCCCCATAGCGTGTCACGGGAATAAAGATTGGAAAGTGTCAGTTGTGTGGAATGATGTTTAAAGAACAAGAGAACACGAGAGTCACAACACAAATGTGAGTCAGATATGAGTCAGTATGGCAGCCTTGTTGCTTCCCAGTGCGACTCATCTAAGGGGCATCCCACCCAGGGGACACCCCAGACCTCAGCTGATGCCAAGAGACCTGGAAGGAAGCTGCAGAAGCTTGAGCATGCAAGCATCCTCCGGGACCATTTAAATATTCCCTTGACAGTGTTCATGGGGTGGGGGTAAGAGACGCCCTCAAACCTTCCCTCCAGTCAGTATGAGACAGGATTTTCCTAAATAGGAATTAAGACTTTTCTTCCATCAAAGGTTACAAATGGGGAGATGAGGTTCCTAAGGGAAATGTAGAAATCTTTAAAAATTGGCTGGTCACAGGCTTTGGGGACAATCTTACTTAGTCTGCAGCATATATCATGAGCTGTCCACTTCTGAGCATTTTATATGAGCTAACTACTGTCAGAGTTCAGGGCCCCAGATAGATAGACTCACTGTACTGTCTGCAGGAATTGGGGGAGGGCTAATAAGATAAGAGGGAATGTTATGGTTATTTGTAATTGTTTCTAGTTTTGCATCATGGTTTTCTAACCCTTTAGAACTGTGCATTTTGTTCCACACTAGCCCCTGTCACCTGGGTTGGTCAACAGATGCTAACCTGAAGATGGGAACATTTGGTATGGGATGTGCTTGGGTTTTCTCATGCGTATTTGTAAACCCCCCCCCCCCGTTTCCCCCAGGAACAACTCGGGTTTCACACCAGCGGACACAGTGGCTATCATCTTCTGCTCCACACACAAGTCCCTGACATTGGGTAAGTGATTCACCAAGTTAGAAACTACCTCTCACCCCAAATAATCTCCAAACTCAGAAGCTTCTCGCGTGCCTGGGACCATCCATCCGGTGGACAAAGAACAGCAGCCAGGTGCATCCAGCCATTGCTCCGAAGTACTGTTACTTCAGCAAACCAGTTGCTAAGGGCCTAATTAATACTACAGGATTTGGCTTAATTTGCAATCATGTCTCCAATTCTCGGTGCAAAGTGTAAGCCCAGGTTGGTTAGGGGCCTAGGAGGCCTGTTTCTGAAAAAGCAATTGACAAAAACTTGCTTTGGAAGACTCTAGACTTGCACATGAAGATGCTGACTTCTTTCCTGGGAGTTCAAATGAGGATGAGAATAATGCTATCACTCCAGTTTGGTGACAGACATTAGTTTGAAATTCATTGTTTAATATTACATTGTTTTCTACAAAGGCAATTTAGCTATCGTGACTTAATTGTATTAACAGTTAAAGGTAAGTAAGTTGGGTTCTTTCTTCCCTTTTTTTTTTTTTTTGAGACAGGGTTTCTCTGTATTGTTTTGGAGGTTGTCCTAGAACTTGTGCTGTAGACCAGGCTAGCCTATAACTCACAAAGATCCGCCTGCCTCTGCCTCCTGAGTAAAGGCGTGAGCCACCAACGCCCGGCCATATAAAGTATTTTATTTAATGGGAAAGATTAGGAATAATAGTACTAATGTCTACTTAGGCTTATTTAGTTTAATGCATTATCCCAATAACCTCTGAGACATCAGGAATCCATGTTTTCAGTCATTAAAACTCATCAAGTAATCAGGAACTCTATTGCAAAATGCATCATTCATAAACTCCTTGGGCTTGTTGGGGTGGTACGTAAAAATTCAAATTAAAAACTCCTCTGCATTTGGAATGTGGTTCACTTGAGAGAGTGAGGAATCATAATGTTGCTTTGAATTTGCTCACATTAAAAATATTCCCTCATCAACTGAAAAAGTAGATAGATTTTGTGTTTTGATAAGTCCTAAATGAAGCTGTCAGGTAGGATCTCTGCCAGTTGGTTTTTTTTTGTTTTGTTTTGTTTTGTTTTTTGTTTTTAAGTTTGGAAAATCATTTCAAAATTAGACACACCATTAAAGGATCAGATCCTATGCACAGATAGAAGTCCACCCGTGTCACCACGGTGGAGGTGACGGCTTCCTGACACACCCTCGACCTTGACTCTGTCTCTAAAGTGGGCCGATGTCTGCTCTGAGCCAGACTGTAAAACTGAAAGACAAACTGGACACAGTGGACAGCGCTGTGCTCTGTAGAGCTTCTAGAGGCTGTGTGCTCTCACGGCTGGCTGTGCTGCTCGGCACTCCACGGCCTCCGTCAAGTGGACAGCGCTGTTATTGCTATTATTACTTACGTTAGTTGTAAGTGTGTTCCTGTGCCCAGGGCTCCAGTCACATGCCCCGTCATAGATTTCCCTGAAATAGCTGTAGATCAGCTGTTGACCTCAGAGAATGCATTTCACATCCTGTTCCCCATGTTGTTATGGATGCCCTGTGTGGTGTTGCAAGTCTTATGAAGACTAAGGGATGTGCCCAAGGGTCAGAAGGTAAGAGGGGCTGGGGTGAGCCATGTCTTAGAGCGCATGTTTAACTGTGGCTGCCCTGCTGTCTGCAGCAGGCTAGTAAGCCTGGCCCCGTCTTGGGACTTGCTGTGGAGTGAAACACTGAAGTAGGTGGTTTCCATCTCTGTCTGACCCTCTCTGAGCAAACAGCAGCTGGTTGAAGGCTCTGCCGGAAGCACCCTGGGCGTTCCTCAGAGTGACTGGCATTTCTTTTCCTTTTCTGCCAGCAAACCCATTCAAATCCAGACTCTCTCCTGTCCCTTAACCCTAGGCTCGTACTCTTTGCTCTGTGTGCTTTCTGAAAGCTGGTTTACAGCAATAGTTGTTTCGCTAAAAAGGGTTAGATGAACTTGGATTTGTGTTTGCCTGTGAAGAGTTCTCCAAGAAGTGCATGCAGTGTGACACTAGTGACACCGCAGGGCCTTGTGATCGAACAGTGATGTCAAGACAGTGCGGCAGCTAGTGACCACACAATGTAAAACTTACCTATTTCACACCCAAAGCTCTCTGAGAACGCAAAGGCCGGAATGCCTGGCCTGGCCTCGGCTTCCTCAGGTCTGAGGTGAGAGAACTTTAGTTCAGTTCTTTCAACCCTTGATCCTCCTCAGCTTCCACACACACACACACACACACACACACACACACACACACACACACACACACACACACACACACACAGGACTCTTGAGGTGATTGCCAGAATGAACTTTCTGTACCCATTCTCGTAAGATCCCTCTCGTGATGTCCCGATGTCCCAGGGGTGGCAGAGTGTGCCTTCACAGCGCCCTGCCAGCCCATGCACAGATGGAAGTCCTTGTCTGCACTGGATTGGAAGAGCGGCACTTTCATTGTGGGAAAAAATGGCAGCCCAGAAAATAGAAGGAAATTTAGCATAACATCACCCACGAGATATTTTTTTTTTATCTTTATACACAAAGATGAAATACAACAGATTGTAGTATAGCCTTTTGGCACTTTAGAAATATATCTCCTCCTGTGGCAAATACTGTCATAATATTTTTTGCAGTGATTTTACATTCATACACGCACACACAAATATCAAGTAAAATACATTAAGGGAAGCTTAGAATTGCAGCTTATTATTATACCCAGTGTATCTTAAGAAGAGCCCATTGCAGGCCAAGTGGTACCCAAGTGGCTGGTGAGGCTGGGACGCGTCCTCACTGCCCCCACGCGCTCACCTTTGGCTTATTTTATTGTTCTCGCCGCGCCCTGTCCGGCTGCCTTCCATGTGCTCACATCTACACGCACGCTGAAGTTGATTCATTGCTTTTATTAGCGCATTTGCCAGTGATTGATTAGTTCTTCGTATTAGTACTTTTTCTATTGATTGATTGCAGATGAAGTGACTATTTGACCTTTAATTATGAGGCTTCCTATTGAAAATGACATTGAGCTATGGCTTCACATAATCCATCTGGAAAGTCTGGTGATGCCGTTCCCTGGAGTTCGCGCACTGGGGAGGGAGGCCTGGAGGAGCACAGAGGCTGCGCTTCATCTAAGACAGACTACAGGGCTTGTTTGCCATGCTCCTCTGGCTCCGACCTGGGGCGGAGGCAATTTCAACATAGCAGCCCTTGCTGTGGGTTGCCATAGAAGCCAGGAACTCTTGCCTGCTGTTCTCCAGTTTGATGGTGATATGAGTGTAATACAAGAAGATATTTTACATAGCAGAGATTGCAGAGCAGCTTGTAGCTTAGGAACGGCTCGGTATAGTCAATAGCTTTCATCAAGAAAGAGGTTAGATCCCAGATATGCCTTGGATTTGGTATTTTACTTTTTTTTATCTTTTTCTCTTGGGTATTTCAAATCACTTTGTTTTTCTAGAGTTTCAACATATGCAGAAAGTTTCTTGCCACACCCAGGAAGGGAATGGTTCGGGATGTCTGAGGTCCTTAAGTAGAGCCTGCATTTGTATTGGTTTGTAATTTAAGTGCAAAGTAAAAGGACACCATCTCAGAACAAGTCAGCTATTGGCACTCAATAATGGTAGTACCAACTTTTTACTGAATTGAATACACTCCATTTAAATTTAAATTGAGTGCCACAATCAATGGCTTATAAATGCCACTTATAGACACTTGTACAGAAAGGCAAATCATGGCAACTCTTTCTTCCATTATCCACACTTCATTTTGAGCCTGTGGTCACTGCTGAGCTGTGGTAAGAAGCTAACAACTAGAAGAATCTAGCTTTTAGGATTCAGGAGAGGGCAGGGGGAACATGTGCCTGACTCTAGGCTAGAGCCCAGCTCCAGTTCCTGGCTCCAGTTCTCAGCAAAAGCTTGAACAAATTGTGCCGCTGAGGGAGCTCCGTGACCCCATTGCTGCAGGGAGAAGGTGCCCACGGCGCCCGAGGTCTCCAGCCTTTGCTTCCTGTAGGTCTGTTTCTGAAGTTTCCTCCACAAAACACATGTTCCTCTTGGGTGTACAAAGGAAACTTCTTGAAAGGATTGGTGTCTCACTGCTACACGGAAGGAAGTGCAGCTGTTGCTGCTGTCTGAGGAGGTTAGTAGGCCACCATCCTCACAGGGCTGGGAAGGGGCCTTAGTAGGTAAACCCTTGCCATACAAGTGAGGGCCTGAATTTGAGTCCCCAGAACCCATGTAAGACTGGGTGCTGTGGTGTGTGCCTGTAACCCAGTACTCCTGAGGGAGACAGAATAACAGAGGCAGGAGAGGCCACTGGGTCAGCTGTCAGGGCACTGCCAACGGCTGTTCTGACTTGTGTGTACTCAGTGGTGCCCCCCACACACACACACACTGTGCATCTCCCCCCCTCTTTCTCTCTGTCTCTCACACCATGAGCATCACACACATGCACACATACCAACGTTTTTTTCTAACACTCATACTGTGCAAAGAGAAACAAAGTGACTCAGAATTGATTGTGTGACTCACTGAAACAGGCCTCAGGCTGCTTTGTGTCTTACCTGGGAGAAGGCTCCAACCCTTTCCCCCAAGTGCTAACCCTGTAGCCTCTGGTTTGGGTGTCCTCTCACTAAATTTCTACTGAAATTTATGACTTAGAAAAGAAAGAAAATTTGTGACCTAGAGTAATTTTTTAATTGTTTTTATACCTTTGTTGATTTATTCAACCATGTTTTCAATAGTAGTAATAATAAAATAACAGCAATTGGGTAGTTACCAGGGCAACAGTGTACTAGTAAGTACATGTCACAGGAAGTCACTTACTTGATGGCATGTGTGGCGTGTGCACTCGTGTCCTGAGGCTCCAGCAACAGCTGCTCTAATGGCAGATTCTCACTGGAGTGTTGAGGTCCTGTTGTATAGAAAGGGTCTACCCAAGAGGCAGCTACAGCAAATACTGTTGTTATCTGACTCTCTAGCAACTGGAGACCTTTCTAATCAGCATAATGAGT